AAAGTAACTCTTAAAGTATTATTGTTCGTGTAATTACATTTAAAAGGGCTTTAGGAATCATTTAAACACCATTTCATATAGGTAGTTAGTTTCTTTCTTTTTTTCCAAAGTAATTATCGTTATTTTTATGAAAAAAAAACTTTCGGTCTGAAGCTCCCCCCCCCAAAAAAAAAAAAAAAAATCCTGGATCCGCTAGTGATTTTATGGTTATATTTTAAAAAATATTGAACTATGTAGTAATTGCATAAAGAAAATCAATAGTAAAATGATTAATTCCAATTTTAAATACAGATGTCTTTCAATGTATGCACAAGGATCTCCCAAAAAAGTTAATTTTTTTTTTAATGAAGGCTAGCATACAATAAAAACTAAAATTGCTCTATATCAAATATAAGAATCTAAGTCGCTTGATGTTGGTCTTTATTTGCTCAAATTAATTTCTTTCAATGAATTTTAAATACTTGAAAATAAATTATTATTCATTATAATCAATCGAAAATTATTATATGTGTAGAAGGTTAACTTTGATAATTAAAAAATATTTAAATATAATAATAATTTGTAATTATTTGATGTTTTCTAACCATCCATTATATTTTGAATTGAACACAGCAGCACGTGAATTTTTTTTTAATATAACGGCGAAGGTCAACAAAAAAAATAAATAAAAGATAGCTCAGCTTATCAACACATTCGTCTTGAAATACTAAAATTAATGTTATAGAATGAATCGTAATTGTATCGCCATTAAATTTTTAACATTAATATATCACTAAATTTAAAAGTGTTTCGTCGATTTAAGTAAAACGTTTTTTGGTGATAATAGATCAAAAAATATTAGACTCTTATCCTAGGATTCTTAACAATGTGTCCTAGTAACCGAGAAAACGTCATTTTCAAAATTCCAGTGTTTTGTTTTTTTCATTATTGTTTTCTTTCTTTATTCTGTATAGATTTTAAGGTTATTATATACCAGTACTTTTTTTTTTGTTATTTTATATTTTAAAATATATATATTCCTCAATATAATACTATAAATATTTCTAAACAGTGAAGGAAACATTAGTCATATTTTCTTATCTCAAATCAGAGTAAATATATTTTTTGTTGTGATCTCAACAAATTTCAGTTGATAAAGCTAAGTAGCTTCGATTGAGGGAATAAAAGGTGAAATATGTACAAGCATAAATTTATTTATTTTTTTAATTGGATGTGTAAAAGAGACCATGGGCGGATCCCCAAAATGGTAAAATATAACCATGTTTTATGGAAATTTTTTTTTTCAAAATACCTCTTAAAGTATTATTATTCGTATAATTACATTTAAAAGGACTTAAGGAATCACTTAAACACCATTTCATATAGGTAGTTAGTTTCTTTCTGTTTTTCCAAAGTAATTATCGTTATTTTTATGGAAAAAAAAGGTTTCGGGCTGAAGCTCCTCCCCAAAATTAAATCCTGGATCCGCTAGTGGAAGAGACATAACGTTTGTATACTTTGACGTACCTAGACCATCTGGTACTCAAGGTCGCTTTATTTTTTAGGATTTATAAAAAAAAACTTGTATTTCAAATTTTAAAAAGTAGTGTATCCTCCTTTTTATCAGTTTCTGTCATAATGTTTATTGTGCCTAATTATTAGTTGAATACTTAGGAATAAATTATTTAAATATAAGTTTAAAAATATATAAATACTTCTATATTCGATGCTTCTATTTAGTTTAGAAATTAATTAAAACTACAAGGAGAAAAATTCACTAAAAATAATAAAAAAAAGTTTACATCTGATGTAAGAAACTTTTTTAAATTTCTTGTATTATGAAGTTATTCATTCACAAAAATCCCTGCTGTGTAATCTACTTTATTAAAGATTTAAGTACGCTACTGTATGTATATCAATATTCAATGAAATCGTTTTACTCATATTCTATTTTATTAAAAGTGCCATAGATATTAAATTAATAAAATACATGTTTCATTTATTATAATTGTTTTTATTCAGCATAATATAATATCCTAAAAACATTAAGTTCTCTCGTCATGTGTTATCGTTTATCCTATATATTATTTCTTAATATACAATTATTAACATAGATACAGTCCATTAGTTTTGGTATACTTAATAATATCTTCCTGTTTAAACATTTAGGAGTAGAATAGTCTACTACTTTTTTTTTCTGACTTATATATTAACTTTATTATTTCTTAAAGACATTTGGTTGTTCTTACATTTTATTTTTTTTAAATAATTTTCTATATCCTATGATCGGTGCATTATTTTGTCTTTATTACTATTATTATCTTTCCAGTCAGCTTTTAAATATAGGTACTAGAAAAACAATTTGTACAAATATTTTGGTCTATTATGTTTAATGGAATATTGTAATCGACTAAGGAAAAAATATAAATTCCTTCCTCACATAATACATAGGATCTACTCATTTCCATATTTTTTTCTATTTCTTCACTAAACAAAATTTTCTGCGAATTTTTCGCATGGGCCTACTAGTCTTGAAATATTTTAAAAGCTTTTGTTTCATCGTTATTTAGAGATATACACAAATCCACTAGATTCATTTTCAAATAATAACTTTTGGCTGATTACGTATGAGTTCTAATCCTTAAATAACTGTTATTAATAATCACCGTTACTCAAAATTAAAAAAAAAAATCACGGGATAGAGTGTTGTATAAAAGACACGATTTTGTCATTGAATCTGAAGTCATTAACTAATATTTCGAAATTAAAATTAATTTAAGGAACATAAATAAAAAATAAACTGTCATCTAAACATATTTAATACATTCATTTCTCTCTCATGGTAAGTTAACAAAATATGAGATAATACAAGTTTTTCTTCGCGAAAAATTAAAAATTGATATTAATGTTTTAAAATAGAATATCCTGATAATAACTAACCCAATTCCTCATCTTAATGCCTGTGAATAAAAGATACAGGGGGATTGTTTTTGCAGTTATTGAACCCGAGTATGATGAAACTGTTAGCTCATGACTCACTCGTCCATGTCGGGTGGGAGGAAAGCATGGCGTTTTCCCTTTGTCTCCTTTCCCTACATGATTATCACGAAATTATAACCTATTAGAAGATTGATTAAATTTTAAATCATCATGAAATAATATTAGAATAACATTTTTAGAAATTTATTCAGTCATTAGCTTAAATTAACATGCAATATTTTCTGAAGAATGTTAAGGACTTTCATTCACGGCCAACCGCTTCGAACCTTGTTCTGCAACATATATTAGTTTGATAAAGTGTATATTATATATTTCTGTATTGATAAATCCATAACAGTGAGAATACCTGATCCATGATACATTTTAATTCAAATAATCATTAATTTTAATTTACATTTCATCAACTTTATTTTTAAAGCGATGCATTTAAATTTTAAAAAATAATGGATAATTCTAGAAAAAGTTTAATATGTATCATTTTAAAAATTCTTTTTCCAGTAAATTTGAAAAGTTAATACGAAACATGTTCGGTTTTACAACTGAAAAAATTCTTAATTATTGATAAATTACAGAAAAAAATCTATGTTTTTTTTTCTTTTTGGCTTGACATTAAAGGTGTTTTTTTTGTCAGTACGCCATAACTTCGTCAATTCTTCATCATATCCAATGATTGACCACTCATTTTGAAGATAGTATTCTCCTTCACATGCGAACAATAGTCCCATCAAATTAAAAAGAAAGTTCAATAGTGTTAGAAAAACAAAATGCAAAAGTATTGTTTCTTTTATGATAAAATATTTTAAATACCGAGATTATTTTTTAAAAATATAATAAATATTAATGGAGGCATGTTTTGTTTAGACTTATTAGAGCTGAAGTTGAGAGAAAGAAATTTTTGTACAAATCCTGCAAACAATTATTTTTTGTTGTTTATTTACATTTCTTAGATTTTCCTAGGATGAGAAATTAAAGAAAAATAACAATTGTATACTAAATTAAAAAAAAAAAACTATTATCCAAGTTCAAAAGAACTAAACTCTATATTCGTTCTTAAATCAAAAAAACAATTTTTTTTTAAATTTGTTTAACTTATAATTTATTGTTAATATGTAACATTGTGCATTTGCCAACAATATCTGAATCTTACACGGAGCGTTAGACTTTATAGTTCTAAGAATAATAAATAATTAATTAATTGACTAAGTACACCAATAAATTTTGACAAAATTGAATTTATTTTCTTGAATGGCTATGCTGAACGTTTCCGTTGCTTTATTCTGGTGGTTCAATTATATAAACGTAGGTAAATTTAATTTTTGTAGAATTTTATTATTATTAAAATATTAAGTTGTATTTTTTATTCCCTTAAATAATTTTATATTTTATTCGGAAATTGTGTTTGGTTATTTTACATTGAGCCACGAAATTCTGTTTTATTAATGTTTAGTTTCAGTTAAATGGTATAGACAAATGTATCCATTTAGATTGCAAATAGTTGTTTGTTTTTTGTTTTAATTTAATGATTATTATGAAGTATAAAAACGGGAATGTGTTTTGATAGTGAGATATTTACCTCTACTCAGTTGGCAGCTCTGACGCTCTTGGGTCTAGGTGAAAGCTGTTATGTTTTGCTTTATTGTAATGAATGTTAAAAATTATGTGATAACCACACGAATTGAAAGTAATTTCCAAACTATTTCATCCGTTAATGGATAATTACATACTCATTCCATAGATTAATTAAGGATGTTTTGGTAAATAACAATGAAGGAATCCTGTCATTCAAGTACTCCAACCTGTGTCAATGGGTATAGGCTTATAATTACTTGTTGGTTTTGGTTTGTTCACCTTTTTATCAAGTATTTTAAGCTTTTTTATTTCACTGTTTAGGTAGGATATTCAGTTGATTAGTGTTATCAGTTTGTATTATCTATGTTGCATATTGTCAAAATATTATCAATGTTACATTTGATTATTAATTTATGTAGATGTGTTAATTAATTACATGAATTCTTTTTCAGCCTGAAGAATGGTCGACGAAAACCTAGACTCAGCGGAGGCAGCACAAGTAGTGGTGGTGGAGGAGTTCTTGATTCGCCACAATCTATTGCGAGTCCGATTCGAACTAGCAAAAAAGTAGTATGTTTGCTTATTAAGTTTAAATAAATTATATAGGGAGGTTACTTGGACCTCTAGAGTATAACTTATTGAAACAATATTCAGATTCGTGACAGCAAAATTTATTATTTATTAATGCTCTAAATAATGAGTAGAAAATAACTATTATGATCTAAATTCTGTTCAATTTATATCCCCCGGATTTAAATAACCCTTGTTGAGGGTTATTGTTTTTAAAAATAATTATGAATGTTTGTTTTCCAGAGCGTAAGTTCACCTGGTGAAGATGGAAGTGATGACTCTGGAATCAGGGTTGATAGAGACACATATCAGCTCATTTTTCAGGACGTAATAAGCATTAAATCAATGCTAGTCAGACTTCAAAGGACTCTTCAAGATGTATGTTAATTATTATTTATTAGCAATAATTAATATCTTATTACTATAAAATCAATTTGGTAATATCTCCTATTTTTTTTTTTTAAATGCTCTTTAATTCAGTAGTAGTTGCTAGCTTTTATATGTATTCTCTGTTGTGGATTTATATGTTTCTGTAATCGGCATAAATATATTTTCTTTTCGTTCATTTAATGGTTCTGTAGTATATTTTAAAACATATCTCAGTTGTTTTGGGTTATATTACATTATAAACTTTTATATTGTCTGAATATTTAAATTTTAACTATTAAAGTTGTCAATTTCAATAGCCATTTGGATTTAATTCATGAAAATCTCTTGTTATATATGTATAACAATGCTGTTTTTTAAATATTTATGTTGACTAGATTTTTAATCTTGTTATTATATTGGTTATAATCTTTTACATATTTACATTACATCCATTTTTACATATTTATTTTTTCAATATGAATGCCTCATAGAGGTAGGATATTTTTCTATTTCAAATGTACAGTTCTGGGTTGATATTCAAAATACTTTTTTCGTTACTAATCCTGTCTGAAAGCAGTGGTGAAAATAAAGAAGTAATGATTTTAGTAACCACTGATAACCCTATTCAACCTGTAATAGGTCGAAAGTTATAACATTTGTTCACTGTAACCTTTATCATTAGTTTGTTTATTAATTTAGTGTGTTGTGATTTTCTTGACGTGAGAGGTTATTCCTACTACTAAGATCTACCTTTAGATATAGGACTATAATTATAGTTGACTTAAATTTTTCAATGCTCCCTGAGAAATTACTATAAATACAGTTTTGTGTAGATTCTGAAATTTTTGGAATTCTATTTGTAGTGTGATAGATATTAGCTTGTGCCTGCTTAATGTGGTTAAACATCATATGTACCTGTCTCTGAGTAACAATCACATTCAGAGGAAGAAAACCATCATGCTCTTTAATGATTCATCAATTCTATTTTTCTTTCATGATTCATCAATTTTTTAAAATTTCTTTTCTTCCTTTCACTTTAATTCGCCCCTTTCAACCTTGACTCTCCTTTTTGCATGTTTTTTATGACACTATCTTATTCCCAGTGCTGAAGATTTAAATCATTAAACCATATAAGGGTTGCTTAAAAGTTTCAATGCTTGTTATTATCACACAACAGGCCTTACAGTCTAGTAAAATCACAAAAGAAATTCATCAGTACATAAATCCCATAGATTTTGATTTGTGTACATGAGATCTGCAACTTTTAAAAAAGTATACCTATCTTTTTAACTTGACCTGTTGTTAGGTTCACTGAGTACATATTTCAAAAATCAGAATACTTAAAAATGAATTTTTAGATGCTCTTTTAGTGTATTGAACCTTTAAATAAAACATTCTAACCACAGCAAAGGTAAACAATGAAACAATTCTGGGTATAACTAATTTATGTACAGCCGATCTTTCAACAATTCTATATAGTCATATGTTTAATTATTTCAAAATTTTGTATGAATAATTATATCATTGTGCATTGTTTTGGTGGTTTAGTCTTTCTATAAGGTAGGTATGAGAATGTTTGTAAATATTAAATAAACTAAGCTGTATTTTTATTTATTTCGACTTGCTCTCGCCCAACCGCAATCTTCTGTGACATTATCTTTTAGAAATTTTAGATTAGGAGAAAAGTTACATCTACAATTTGTTTTTCAATGAATCAAGAAAAAAAAATCTATTAATTTATTTATATGACAATGAAAATTACTTTTTGAGTATATAGACTAAATACGACTCTTTTCTCATCTCTCATACTGTTTTAGTATGTGTTGCTCAAGGCTTTGTATTTAGATTTCTCCAGTTATAACATTATATTTAGTTTATGTATCTTTTTGAGTGTTTGCTATTTTCTATTAATTATTTTTTGAACAAAAATGTTTGTTGTGCATTTTTGTGTTCTTACGCAGGTTATGCTATAGTTTATATCATTATAAACAATATGGTTTATATTGGTTATTGTATATGAAAAATAAGGAAGAACAAGCTATTAATTTCAAAATTTTTTTTGTAAAAAAGAAACAGTTAAGCCTATTTGGATACATGCTCTAAAACTATTATAAACTTGAAAACTATACGAGCTGTTGTATATAACAGTGGTTTAAGTAATTTTCATAATATATAATAACTGAGTGTATGAAGTTCATAGTGTTAGATAGTTGAAGATGGGTGCTTGAGAATCATTAATTTCAAAAGAGAAATTCTTTATGTAGAAATAACTAATATTATATACCAATAGTTTTTTGACTTTCACTACTTTTGCATTTAACAGTTCATATTAGTTTATGATTTATGTAGTTATAAGTGTGTAAAGAAAAAGTTTGTAATATGTTTTACTTATAATTTACCCAACAGACATTCATTCTTTTTCCTCTTCCATAAACAAAACTGATTTAAGGTGTGTTTCATTAAATTTTAAATAGGTTGTTCTTTATTTATAATTTTAGTGCTTTTGTTGTAACATGGTCTAATGCGTATTTTATATTTTTTGCTTTCCCAAAGGAGCCAACGACTGTGACAAATCACACGGAAGACCAAGGTGAGGAGTCAGCCGACTTACGTAGACAGGTATCACCCAATCCCAAATTTTCTCAATCTCTCACTCTTCTGCACACCATGAAAGCTAGTTCTAATACCAAACTCAAGAGGTCTCTGTGCCACTTCTCGTTTCTTTGTTCTATTTTCACTAAAATCAAATAATTATATTGTAAATACCTTTTTTCACTTTTGACCTATTGAATTATACATTCATTACTCACTAGAAGGTGGTACATTGACGTTACCTCAGGGGTCAGTATAATTTAATTAAACATTAAAGTTTATTTTCCTTGAATTAAAAGATAAACCTTTGCATATGTTATTTATTGAATTTTTATTCCTGTTTTTTGTCCTTGAAATACACATTTAAACACATTAAATCAGAACTATGTGCTTTATTATTTAACTATAATTTTTTTATCTGGTTTTTTTTCAGAATAATATTAGAATTTGAATGATTATTTTGTTTTTATCAAACATTATTCAATAATGTCTCTTTATTGAACAAATATTCATTTAAAAGAGAATGTGGTAGAAAATATTTCATATTAATTTGTTAATGTTTTTTTTGTTTTTAAATTTTAACTTATGTCACCTTGTATTCTCATTACAATGTCGGTAGAATGGGTAAAATCTGTACAACTTTTTTAAACATTTTAATTGTAAAGCTCCAAGAATTTATTTTTAAATTCAAAAATCAATATGAGGAGTTGGTCGGAGGTTGCGTTCAAATAAATACTATATATCAAAATAGTATTTTATTGTTTACTCCGACGTTTCGACCCACTTTGTAGTTCTTCATCAGGCCTACAAAAGATACAAAATATAAATGTACATAGTGAAAAAAATTTAAATGAATTATTAGTAGATATTAATTAAGAAACAGTTGTCTGATAAAGAAATATTAAGATGACATCAGAGATATAGTGGTTGACATTGTAATTAAAATATCAAGTATTACATTTATAGAACATACAACCAAAATAGAAAAAAGTGAATAAAAGTAGAAAACAAAAGTAAATATTGCATGGTGTAAGTTAAAAAGTTTTGTTTTCTATTTGTATTCACACTTTTTTATATTTTTGTTTGTATCTTCTATATATGTAATGCTTGATATTTTAACTACAATATAACCCACTATATTTCTGATGTCATCTTATTATTTATTTATCAGACAACTGTTACTTATTTAATATCAACTAATAATTCATTTAATTTTGTTTTCACCATGTATCTTTCATATTTTGTATATTTTGTAGGTCTGATGAATGCCTACAAAATGGGTCGAAACATCGGTGTAAACAATAAAATACTGCTTTAATATATAGTATTTATTTGACCGCACCCCCACACCAACTCCTTCTCATATTGTAATCACGCTCAACCTTTTCTACATCAAAAATAAATAGAATAATATACCACTCCCAAATTTTTTTTTTGTCACTCTTTTTTTGTATGATTTGATTGTATAGCTATTACAATATACACTTCATTGTGAGTTGTCGACCAGTCCTCCTGATCAATCTTTCATTTTAGTCAACCCAATTATACATTGATGAAAAACAAAATATTCATTTTCAAATTCTAAAATCATAATATGTGTTGTGATATTAACTGTAGTATTAAGTTATTTATTCACCAGTTATCCATCAATGTGATGTTTTATGTTACATTGATTGCCTGTTTATTGTTCTCTTCCTTCATATCATTTGTATCATATTAATTGTTACGGAATCCTTTACCAGAATAAAGAATTTTCACATATTAGTACCGGTTGCACCAGTCTCGGTTTAAACTGAAATTAGCCCAATTGGCTTTCTCAGATTTTAAAAGACAAAATATTGTCTGCCTCCATTGTTCATGTGCTCGAAATTCACAATTATCTTCGAAGTTGATCACAAAAAACAAAATATCTAGATGTTAGCAGAAGTGTATCAAAAGATGTTTAAGAAACAAAGTATATTTTATCTAATTTTGTCTGTCTTTATTGAACATTTCTTGTTGCTCTTGGGTTATAGGTGCATTTATTTATTCAATATTTTAATCATGCCTTACCAATTTGCTATTTAATTTTTGATAGCACATACTAGTTATAACCGTTGTGAAGTTGCTATTTTATCGTAGGTTTACATGTATACTAGCTTCAAACTGTTATTATTGGTCAGTTGACCAATTAAAAGTTAGTTTAGAGTTTAAACTATGTTGATTCAACATGTGATTATTGATTTTAACTAAGATATCAGAAAACTCGATTTAAACTGTCTGGTGCAATCGACATTTGTATTATCTATGTTTAAAATACCATAGTAAATTTATCATTTATAACATGATAATTGACTTGCATACCAACTATTTCTCAATTTACAAGAGTGTTTGGCAAATACATTCACCATCTAGAATATTTCTTTGGTTATAGCTTGCATGGAATGTATAACTATAAGAATGTATTATAGGCTACTGCCGATTTTGAATAACAGCTAACATTGGTAAAGTTATGGCATCAAATAATTGAATCAGAGTTGGTTAACAGATTCGGGAAAAGTTAATCTCAAATAATAAATGTTATTCTTTTTGAAAATATACATCATTTTACTGTTATTTTTTAATAGTGAATTAACTGTTTATTTTTAAATTCGTAAATAAGTTTGATTAACAATTCACATTATTTCAGTTTATTTAATTTTCATAATCATTATTAAAAATAATTCTGAATTGTTGTTGGTTCATAGTGTAAAGTACTATATCAAACAAATGATAAATTAATTATAATCACTGAATCAAACAATTTTTACTTTATAAATTGTAATGGAAATAATAATCAATCAATAATAATCAATACTTTATTCATGTTTAATTACAAAAAAATTGAGATTGCAGTAATGCCTAAGTATCATTCGTGAAACAATTGTAACTGCTATTGCTAATTTTGAATAACAGCTAAAAAATAGTCATTTTAGTTTTTTGGATGGAAAATTAAAGCTAAAGTAATGAAGTTTGTATATCATGTTTAAGAAAAAAAGTTCACTAATAAAAATTAATTAAGCGCATGGAAAAAAATTATTTTGAATATGAAATTGTAAGCAAATGAACTATTAATATATTCTATTGCAATTACTAAATTGTTTGAAAAATAACAGTTTGTTAATTAGTTACTTGTCAATCTTTAAAGATTCTAAGTTAGTAGCTCTCAAGTTTTAGTTAACTGTTTATATTTAAATTTTTAAAATTATTGCTAGATTTTTATATTTTACTTTAACTTCAATGTGCACAATCTTCATCCAAAAAAGAAAATTCAAATAAACTAAAGTTGCCAAGATTTTGTTTATTGTATTTTATAGTTTGAAATGTTAAAATAAAAATTTATTCTAGAAAAACATATATTGTGTCCATTGCTGCTTGGTCTTGTAAGAAAATCTAAAACGAAATTTTTAATTGAAAATTGAGAAATGAGACCTATCTGACATTTTAATATAAAGTCTTTCATTTTTCTTTTATTTTATTTATTTATACTAGTAGGCCAGTACAAAAATTCGCAGAGTATATTATTCAGTGATCAAATAATAAATCAATAAGAATATCATAAAACAAATCAATTGTTACTTTCTTGCTAAATGTATTCGATAAAGGAAACAAAAATTTATTTAAAACTTCATTAATGTTTGGAATCAACATGTTTACAAATTCTGTATCTTTGCTAAAAATTGTCCGATTTCGATGATTTTTTTTTTTTTCCTTTTGTAGGGGATTTAGTAATCTTTTATATAATCATGGACATAACTAAAGTGTGTAATTTTCGAGTTATTCGCAAATAAAATTTCTTTTCGTTCATAATCTGAATTTTCGGGGTGATTGGACTATTTTGCTCTTCTTGAAGGACAGTGATAATTTTCAAAATTGATGGTTCAATCTTGGGATTTGGTGAAGAATTAACAATGATGTGGCTTACCGACAAAAAAGACCTTCGATAAATAACACTCCTCACGATCATAGGGGCCTTAAGTCGACAAAATGAGACATGTATTCAATGACAGTACTACAATTACAATTAACGTAAGGTTATGTGGATGCAAACCATCTGCCTTGTATTATCTCAAAAATAGTACGTTTTTGAGCTTAAGAGCGCAAGACCCTATAGTTCCGAAGAATGTACGCATCAAAATCTTCAAAGCCCAATTTGTCCTGTATCGATCTACAGACTTACCACCGTTCTAGTGTTAAAGCCTAGCAAAATGTTTGTATTGACTTTATTTATTTTAGAAACAATTACGTGTGATTCGGTAACCCTCCCCCTGTCAAATTCTGAATTTAACGATAACTCATTCATGGTATTTGAGTATGACAGGAGCTTATATTTGGTACAAAACCGATTTCGAGCCTTAATGTTATAATATATGTGAGGATTTTCACTAGGCTGTTACTAAGTATCTTGATTCCTGCATCTTGTCCTGCATTAAAAAAAAAAATGAATACTGAGAAAGCATGTCATTGTAATTATAGTTAAAATGTTTCAAGACCAGATTAAGTAAAAACGGTTTATCTACATAGATTTTTTTGTGTTTTTCCACAGATAGTTCTATTGCGTGCTCAATTGGAGGAGGAGGAACGGAAGAGAGTGAAATTGGAGGAAGAACTCCACAAAGTTCGACCTCAACCTCAAGGACAATCAGTCCGCACTTCTGTGAACAAAGCGACCCAAACGGACAGGGTAATTATTTGTTTAATTTATTGGAATAGGCGTAAATTTATCTTTTCTATTGTAAAGCTCAACATTATCATTTATCATAAATTACAATATAACAAATTAAGTATTAAAACAGTGTAGCGTATTAATTTGTACTTAGAAGGAAGCATAATTATAGATATATGGTAATCTAGTTTTATGTTCCTTTTGGGTTCAACTCTTTTGTAGGGGAGCAAATAATATGATGATATTTAACTTAGTATTTAAATCTTAGATATTACGTTTACAATTACAAATTGTGCGAATATAATATTTTAGATCCGACCAGTGTCTACCAGTCAGGCGCTGTTCCAGACTTCCCCCGATAACTCTTCATCTTCGTTTGTGAGGTGTGTATTGTAACTTCACTGATTGAGCCTAAATGTAGCCATTTTATTCTGAGATAGCTCACATGTTCATTGCTGCTTAATTATACACCTTTCATAACATTTTCATTAATTATGAAATTAAATTAACTTGTTTAAGTGACTCTTTGTGTTATAGAAAAATTGATCATGGTTGATTATTATAAACTATAACACTTACCTAATTTTAGCATTTTAGTAGGAATCTCAGGCATTTAATGCCATTATGTTTTAATTTATATCCATTTTTTCAAGAACCCTTGTTATTAATTTTTTTTTTTAATTTAATAAAATTTTTGCTTTTAAATTTAATTCTAGAACTAATAACTGGCAGTTGTGATGAAAATTTCTTTTTCAAGTCCAGATGATTTGAAAAAATAATTGACTGACCTTAAAAAATATATAATGAAATACTTTTTAATTTACCTTAATGGGGGTAACTTTAGGGCATTTTTCGAAGTTTTAAGCTGCTTATATCTTTATTTTCAAAGTTAAAATGGTAAAAAAATTATTAATATGTAAGTTCAGTCTTTCTCTTAACAAAATATGGCAGAACAATAACTCAACAATAGATTTATACTCAATTGAAAAACATGCTCTTTTTAAATAACTTTCATTACCATCACAATCGTCCTTATTTACCAAAAATGGATACTTACATTTACATGAACTACCCCTCATCAATGAGATTATAGACAACTGACATTGTTTCTCTATGAAAACATTTTGCGAACCAATTACTCGTATGATATTGACTAAAAAATCTGTAGTCTTCAGAAATGAGTTAGAATTTGATGCGTGATATTCGTATAATGGAGATGATATGAAGCGATTTTCGATTTTGAAACAAAAGATAATTTTTAACTGGTTTTATGGTATTTATTTTATAATTAATAAAAATTGACTTATTTTGAAGGTTGGAAAATTATATAAGATGTTTGATTTCATGTTACCTCTTGTTGTTTGACATCATTAAACTTTTCAAATAGATAAATCTTGGAACTCTTTTAGTAGCACCTTCACTGAAATATGGATGGCTGGCTGGATTGATTAAACACAGTTTTTATTGTTTTGATAATTTATAATGCTGCACAACATTTTCAAATTATCCTTTATTTTGTTTTTTTGGCTGCTTAGATATAATTTCACTCGCTTCAGTGGATTTTATTCACGTTTTTCAAATGTTTTCACAGCAAAATAATTCTGCACCAGTGATTGTATTATAGAATGATATGTTCCGATAATGTATACTTATCACAGTTGAAATTATTATGCAGCCAATTTAATCTGGTTAATTATGATATTATTAATATTGCAGAATTTGTGAATATAGACATTTCATTGCGGTACAAAAAAAAATACAAATAATTGAAATTGAATTATTGTTTGGTAAGTTAGAATATGGGATCTATGTCTTTGATACCTTTCGCTAAAGAAGACATAAATCCTGAGCCATTTGGAGCAGTGGTTCTCAAATTTTTTTTGCTGCAACATCCTTGTTGGATTATAAAAAAAAATTGTGACACCCTTTTCAAACTTGAAAAAATTTGTGGCACCTTTGTCAGACCAAAACTCATAATCATAGTTATCCATAATGCGGTGATGTAATTGAATCTTTACCCATTTTTGTTATAATACTCATTTATATAAACCTAATAAAATATTTCGAGGATATAATCTGAAATTCAATCGAAAATTTTAATTTTTTTTTTTTTATAGATATAAATTCATATATTTTTAGAATAACTATTCATCAAATAGATAATTTCAATCATAAATATTGAATATAGAAATTAAAACTGAATAGATGAAAAGAATTATATATTTTTCAACTAGTTATTGTTCATATTTTTTTTTTAAACATCTCAAAAACCATGAATAGACTTTTTTATTTATTATTTAAAAAATATATGGGTGATTGTTTCCAGAGAAAGGCTATTTCCAAAAAAAATATTTGAAAAATAAAACAAGACTGGTTTAGAATTAATGCATTTATAAATCCTATATATTATTTCTAAAAGGTGTTTTTTTGTCGATACGCCATAACTTCGTCAATTCTTCATCAAATCCGATGACTGACACTCTCCTCCTTCACATGCGAAAAATAGTTCTATCCTCTCGAAATACCTGGGGAAAAAGTTATGAATGAAAAGAAACTTTATTTGCGAATAAATCAAAAAGTGTGCATTTTTTTCTGTATTGTGGCTATGATAATTAGAAAGATTATTAAATTACTTACAAAACAAAAAAAAAATTGGACAATTATTAACAAAGATACAGTCCATTAGTTTCGGTATACAAAATAATTTCTTCCTGTTTGAAAATATTGCATTTACTATTCTACTACACTTTTTTTCCTGGCTGATATGTTAACTTTATTATTTCTTAAAGTCATTTCTATGTTCTTACATTTTATTTTTTTTAATAATTTATAAAATCCCATGATCAAGCCTTTATTTTGTCTTTATTATTTTTCCAGTCAGCATTTAAAAATAGGTTGTAACAAAGCGATTTGTACAAGTATTTTAGTCTATTATATTAAATTGAATATTGTAATCAACCAAGGAAAAAAATATTAATTTCTTCCTTACTTAATACTTATTAACATATTGTTACCTTATTTACATATTGTTTTGCTATTTCTTCGCTAAACATAATTTTCTGTGAATTATTCGCACGAGCCAACTAGTCCGTATTATTAAAGTAGTTACAAGATTCACTATTTGATCAATATTTAATTCCTGATAATTTTTTTAACAGTTATTATTTAAAGCTTCTGTCATAGCAGAGTAGAAGTGTTTGTCTTGCATGGCATGCTTTACTCACAAACTGTGGGTCCAAACTTCAATTTTCTGATAGGATCCATCAATTAACCACCTAAGCAGTAGTGAACATGTCTTTGTAAATCTTTAATTTTTTTTTTGTCTTTTTTTTTTAATTGAAACTGATGTTGATGAATAATTAATTTTTTCATTGCCCTGCCCCATGGATATTTGGACGATGCAGCTTCCAGTTGGGAAAGGTACGCTGGTGTGTTGACTTAACCCTTGGCCTCACGTTACTTATTGCTTTAGATCTAGTTTGCTTTATTCCTTTGTCTCTTTAGTATTCAATCATCTTTTGCTGATTTATATATATATCGCTTTTATTTTCTTATTACTATAGTTTATTTATATGAATAGTAGTGTATTGCCAAATTTCAAGTATTTTTTTATAGTTTTTTACATAAAAATTTTCCAATATATATTAATTATAATCATTTTTATTTTGCTGCCTTGGCTAGACATATTATGTAAGTATTGAATTAGTAATATTCCATTATTTCCCATTCTTTTGTTTATTTTCTCTTTAGAGAGTATATTCGCTAATAAAAGAAATAAACTCCAGGAGAAAATTAACGCATCACTTCATTTATGTAACAATTAGCCTTATAGTTTATAAAGTAATTATCAGAAGGTTGCAACTATCAGAGTTTATGTATAGTTCAATTGGAGTATGACTAATTCCTGGTTCATCTTTTCATCTCTGTTTAATCGTTTTAGTCGAAGTTAGTGCCAAGAGATTTTTTCTGTAACAGTCTTAACATTGCTGTTTAAAAGTATTTCAATAATCCTGAACAACAATTCTAGTTCTTACAGTTCTGTAAGAGCACTTAAACTGTATTAATACATGCAACTAGTTTGAGGGTTCCTGCAAGCTTTGTGTGCATCAGATGTCAAAAATTGTTACTCTATGATGCTTTAAAAAGCTAGGTTTAGAAGATGCAATGAAAAACGACCGAGATTTACCAACCATATGTATGACAGGTTTATTCATATTCAAACCTTAAGTATCAGTTTGTTACAGAAATCCTTTAAATAAAATTTGCTGGATATCGATAAGCATTCGGACTGTGAGAAGTCTTAGTGATCCCAAATCAAGTGCCAAACATCCTGTGCTTGGGCCACTTTTCACCAAACTTTTCCTCAAAAAGAAAGAAATCTAATTTTACTGAATTTTTTAGTTTAAAGAATTAAAAGCGAGTCCTTTTTACTGATAATGTGAGAAGGGGTCCATAGGTCATCAGGTGATCAAGTTTTCATTTTTAGACACCCAAGTGAACGATATGCTCAGTTCAGTATGACCTCGCAGATTATATTCCAAGAAGGCTGATGACTGATTTTATGGTGTGGTATTTCTTCTGATCACCCTACAAAATCAGTATTTTGCTGGTCAGTTCCTTAAACTCTCAGAGATGCATGGAATACTCAAAGGAGTATCATTTGACTCATACATTACAAAATGTTTCCTACTGAAGCATGAATGAAGATCCATGATAACACAGCTTAGAGTGTAGTTGAGTACATCTTAGAGTTGGATATTATATGAGTTAATATCACTCATATTTCTGGAATAACCCCTGAAAAATCAAATAAAATAGAGTAGTGTCCAATCTATGTATGTGGAACTAGAATTCCCTCTCCTAGAACACTTGAGAAGTGCAAATAGCTTTTATTGAAGAGTCATATATATACATATACATATACAGCAGAAATTGGTTATAATCTCTTTAAGGGCTTAGGAATGCAATCGATATTTTTAATTAATGCTACAGGCTGTAGCCCGAGCTAGTTAGTTAATTTTAATGTAGTGTTTAGCATGTTTGTGAATTGTGCTTTTTAAAATAGTAAATTAAATACAAGACAATATTTGATCTGTATTTATAATTTACAAAATAAATGTTTCTGGTCCTACATTTACGTTTAAAATAAAGAAATCTGCTGATTGCTTCAATTATTTTCATGAAAATATAAATATTAGAATCAGTAACATTTATTTTGGTACTTATAAATACACATCAATTCCTATAAGATCTGGGTGCAAAACACAGTTTCATTTCCACCTTACCTGAAAAATATTATAAAAATCAGTGTTTTTCAAATTTATTTATTTCATAAATAAAAAGTGTATTTAGGCAATTATGTTTATTGTAATATATCACAGGTGATGGGAAAACAAGAAATAAAAACTTTGCAACAAATAATTGTAAGTATTTTTGCTGAAAACAGGGGTACTTTTACTTGACAAGACAAAAAATCACATAATTTTTTTATACTATTTGAAGAGAATCTCAAGTTTTCCCTAATTAGCCTTAAATTAAATAATATTTACTTAAAGCTTATTAAACGAGAAAGTTTTCCAAAAGTAGGTTGTGTGAAGTATAGTTGAATGATGATAGAAAAAAAATTCATGAATAATTTATGATTTTTTTTAAAACAGAACTTTGCTTAGTTCAGCCACTCAAAACTCCTCTTTAAATGGTTTTAAAAATGACTAACTCCATTTTCATTTAAAGTGCATTTGTCTTTTTTACAGTGAAATAATTGTTAATTACTTAAGAGAAGGAATTGGTTCGTGGGGTGTGGTAAAATGAATACTATACATCAAAATAGTATTTTATTGTTTACGCTGACGTTTCGACCCACTTTGTAGTTCTTCATCAGGGTGTGGTATCTACTCTCTAGGTGGTGGGCAGTCTACCAACTGCTTTCTGCAGTGCCCGATACAACCCCCTGATGAAAACCTACAAAGTGGGTCATAACATTGGTGTAAACAATAAAATACTATTTTGATGTAAAGTATTCATTTGACCGCACCCCTTTCCTACCACTGACCAACTCCTCATATTATCGTCATGGTAAACCCTCTCTACACTATTGTTAATTACTTAAATTGAATATTTCTTTAGTTATTGCTTCCTATTTAACAAAGAACACGACTTAAAAAAATATGAAACTTGGATTTCTTACTTTCATGCTAAAAATTGGCACATTGTTGATATGGTCTTTTTTGTAGCTCTTGAGGTCATCTATCACTATTATAAAAATTTCACTCTACTTACGGGACACCCTGTGGGGAATGGGAGAACTATGAATGGTAGAAATTATTTAATTGTAAGAATAAATAAAATATTGTAACTCAGATATTGAATTGCAGACTTTGTTTGCAGATATTGAATAATTTGTTCTCGAAATTCTGTTTAAAATTTAGGATGAAGGTACTGGTTTAGTGAATAATAATGTGCACAAATAATGGCTGATCTCACTGAAATATAGATAATACACGTTACACCATCATTTGCACATTTTTTTTTTTTTTAATTTCACCGCGCCACGCTTTATATTGCTATATAATTTAAATTTTTAATTTTGTTTCAGTTGTTTGAATGAAAGAAAGAACAGTGGGAAGGGGCAGAGGTGTCGACGCACTGATTCTCATTAATTTATCCTAGATATTGAAAGCGGATTCTTCAGTATTAATGTTTATTATGTAAAATAATTGTGTATCTTATTGTTTATATATTATTTCTTTTCAATTTTATTTTGGTGTACATATTTAGGATTATCTATTTATTAAAGTGACTATCTTGTGATTTTTATGATTTATTATTTTGTCGAATCTCTAAGAGATGTTTAGTTGAATCAAAATGATGCTATTTGTGATATTTTGTTATCAATCGTTTTTATATGATTTATATGTTGCATTGTGGAATATTTAAAAAAATATATAATTCTGAATATTCATGTCTAATAATCAAACCATGTATTGATTGTCAAGTAAATTCGTTCTTTTAGGTTTTAGTTGTCATAAAAATTGATATAGCACTTATTGAATGCAGGATTCCAATACATATTTTAGTTACCAGTTTTTACAAATAAATAAAATTTTGCTTACTTTATCAGAATAGTATGATTTATTAAACCTATGTATTAAATTTAATTAAAGTGTTAAACAAAATTAAAATAAATTATTTGACATGAATATTCATGAACATTATAATTTGTATTATATGGTAATTTATTTTTTTTTTTAGTTTTAATTTTAAAATTTTTGAGAAATTTTATATTTATAGAATAGATAAGATGTTTACTATCTACCCGTTAGATGGATACAAATTTATATGTTGTTCATGAAATATATATTGTTCTTACAGCCTCTATATTGGAAAGCCTGTAACCTTACCATTTCAGATCTAGCGTATCTATAAGGATATGATGAATTATTAGATATTTATTTTAAAATGTTGAAAAGCAATAGGTTATAACTCCCTTTCCAAAATATATATTTATATCCACATCAGTTTTTGTTTTTATTTTTATCATCCTTTACTTCTTTTAAAATAATGGTTCTATGACTATCTAATTAATAAATGAAATTGTGCCATTTGTAGATAAATATTATTGAATAAGGCATCTTGATCGTCTCCTCGATATATTTATTATTGCCCTAATTTCGTTTTTGACTATGCTACACTGCCACCTTTAGATTCATTTTAAGTAAGTTCAGAATACCTCATGAATAGAATTTTACTTCAAAGAAGTGATAATAACGCTCTTAGCAATTAAAAGCTTTACTAATCAACAACGTTATCTCATTAATAAAGTCAATGTATAGAGACATTTTGTTTTGATTTAGGTTTATCTCCTTTATTTTTTAACCTTAGTGCCTTCAATTGAGGAGCTTCCTCACACCATTAACTGTTTTACCCCTGGCTTTTTCCAGTTAATCCAATTATTATTTCAAGAAATTTCGTCCTTGGATGACTTCTTGATCTCCTTCCAGATGGAAAATATTCCACTGCCTTGAGCTGGTCCTTGTGCCTATCCATTCTATAAGTGTGTCTGATCTATATTAACTGGGTTCTCTATTGCTTGCATGTTACAGCACATCAAGCACTGCTCCCCTCTGATTTTTTTCATTTTTTATATGTTCCCTCCTTGTTTTCTCAGCCTTTCTTCGTTTCCATTGCAGTGATTTGACTCAGAAGTATGTTAATATCCAGCTCTCTGCACCCAGCGCAGAATTACAGTGTATAATTATCATAATCTTGCCTCTAAAACCCGTTGCAAGTCCTGGCTTCCTGCAGCAACTTCTGCCATTTTTCCCTGTCCATACTGGAGAATAGTTAAGGTAAATTGTCTCAAAAATTAATAATTTTAAATATAGACCCACTTCTTTCTTGCTACAGTGTATATTGAACATTTGGTCATAAACAGCATTTGCCTTTATAATACAGTGTGAAATTTCATTGTCCACTTTTCCCGAAATTTTAATCAGTGGTCCAAGCTAAGTATAGTCTGATGCAACTTCCATCTCTTCACCGCCACACAAAACATGGATTTCCTTTTGGATCACCTGTAAAATTTTACTTTTTGGTTTATTTTACTACTACCCTTTCTTGCTAGCTTCTCGCACCATTCTGTAATCACTTGTAATTTTTGCTAGAAGTCGAAACTAGAACTATATCAACCGTATAATGAAGTGTTTGTATGACAACTGTGCTTAGGTTCCATTGCCTGAGATATATTCTCTGTATGCATATTGAGGCAACTTCATCTATGTATAATATAAAGAGTAATGGGCCTATGCTCTCCTTGTTTGAATCCCTTCCATTTAATAATTAATTTTGCTTTGGAGTAAATTTTATTTCAAATTTTAAAAACATCAAGTAGTACTGAATATTTTTTCTTTATAGCATAAAAATTAAAATTTTAGACTAAATGTTTAGTATTATTAAATTATTTCATTTATTTAGTGTACTAATTGGTTAGATTTAAAGGTAAAGTAAAATAAATTTTTCTGAAGCCTACAAAGAATTCTCTTGTTACATATTAATTGAAGTTCAGACAGTAGTGTATTGATAACATTAAAAACTTCCAAATCTCCCTTTTTATATCATCTTATACTAGTGATAAATCATTTTTCTTAGTAATTTGTATTATTTTTCATGCCATGTGTGTGGTTTATAACCCTTATCTTTTTCATTTCTAAAGATTAAAAAAAAAATGGACCTCATGCAAGAATTCTTTTCAAGATTATTGGATTTTAGAGTTAATTGTTTGAAGAATAGTGTTTAATTTAGATTATCCTATGTTTGCACTAAGACTTGATAAAATACTTTATAAATGGGTTGGAGGAAAAGGAAGTATTTAATCAGCAACAACTATTTTCATAATACAAATCCTAAGCTTATCAATCCTAAAATACGTTAAAACTAAATCAACTTTATAAAAAATTCTGATGTCAAGTTGAGTCTATCTGTGTTTACAGAATCTAACAGCGATATTTAGGGAATTCAACAATTTGATTTTGAAAATAAATGACTTAAAGAATGAAATAAATCCTTTTGAAAACAAATGAAATTAAGCATTTTTTTTTCTTCAAATTTCTGATTTTTTCTACTTAAAGTAATTTCTGTGAGTTGCAACAGCTTTCGAAAAAGTATTTAATGAAGCCACTAGTGGATCCAGGATTTAATTTTGGGGGGGGCTTCAGCCCGAAACCTTTTTTTTTCATGAAAATAACTATAATTACTATGGAAAAACAGAAAGAAACTAACTACCTATATGAAATGGTGTTTAAGTTATTCCTTAAGTACTTTTAAATGTAATTACACGAACAATAATACTTTAAGAAGTATTTTTAAAATTTTTTTCCCATAAAACATGGTTATATTTTTCCATTTTGGGGGGGGCTTCAGCCCGAAAGCCCCCCCGTAGATCCGCCCGTTAATGAAGCTATTAATATTAAATAACAAAATCGTCGAAAACATAAGCTGCTAGGCCGGAACCAGGAAGTAAGGGGGAGGAGACTAATTATTCAGTACGGTAAGTTTCGAGGAACATTTTATTTTTAAGGATAAGTAAAAAATATAGTCATATGCTTTTTTTTTTTTTTAGATCTATTGCGAAATAGACTCTAAAATACTGTTGTAAAATTTTTATTGAAGGAGTGGTCAAATAAGGAGCAGTAAAATATTCCCAATGACGGCACTTGCAATCCTAATCTGTTGATTTATTCTCATTAAAGCCATTTTCTATTTTAATTTTCGTAAAACATTCATTAAATAAAATAGTGGTTTGTGTAACATTAAGAACAATTAGCATTGACGTAGGTATTATTGAATATACGAACGAGTAATAGAAGCTTTTTTGATGTACGTAGTCATAGTTGGTTTTACTAACGGTAAAAAGTGCAATGAATTCATCCGAGTTTAAATTTTGTCTTTTCATTTTCAATGTCTTTATTTCATCTTTCTTTTTTCTTAATATTTGAAACATTAAACGGATTTCAGTTTGATTAGTATAGAGAAAACATCGTTGAACTGCATTGTAAGTTACTTTTCATTAAACTTTTTATAATCTCATTTACTGCTTTTTATCTTTGATTATGTAATATATAAAATTTTTAATAAGTGTATACAGATATATCTGTTTAAAGTAAAACCTTGGTGGTGGCGATATTCATAAAATTCAGGAAATGATGAATCTGTTTTGAAATTCGTACAATTTCGCGCCATGGTTGTAAAATAAGGCTTTAAGCCGTTCCATAAATTATTGAAGTGGAGAGGGGATATTAGGTTTTTTCAAAGTCTGTACTGGTTTGTTCTTTTAAAAAAGAATATAAATGAGCTTTGAAACGTAAGTCTTTCAGAATACCTTGGATTATGGTATTGAGGAAGAGAATTGAATTGTGTTTCTGAGTTGTTTAAGGAAGACTCTATATTTTGAGGAATAAGCTTCACAGGTGATTGAATTATCATTTTTTTAAATGTAAAGATTATAATAAATAAAGACTTTATACATTTGTGTGAAATGTTTAATAAAGCATTTTGAATTAAAGCATTCGAATTGGGTATTGCATAAAAATTCTTGTTTGCTTTAACAATTCTTAAAACCTAATTTTTGAAACTTATTGATGTAAATTAATAATGTTAGTGGACTCTTATACTTGATTGTCATAAGTGAACTATAAATAAATATTTTTTCTGAATTGCTTAGTTAGTCTAAAGCTAGTAGGCAAGATATCTATAGGGAGGAGTGGAAGGGGGGAATTTCACCCTCTCAAGATGTTGAAATTCATATGGTTGGAAACTTTCAGATGTGAAAATTGAGGGAAAACAATTTACTGAAAGAGTTATAATATTTAATACCAATACCAATATATTTTAAGTTATAAAATTGGTAGTTTATCAATACTGTTATGTTTCAGAATAGAATAAGAAATGAGAAGGAGTTGATCGGGGGGGGGGGGGGGGGGGGGGGTTGTGGGGGAGGGGAGGGGAGGAGGGGAGGGAGGTGCAGTCAAATAAATACTAAATTATAGAAATAGTATTATTTAATTGTTATGCCGACGTTTCGACCCACCTTTCAGGTCTTCATCAGGGCTACAAAAGATACAAAATATAAAAGGTACATGGTGAAAATAAAATAAATAAATTATAAGTAGATATTAAATAAGAAAAAGTTAGCTGATAAAGAAATAATTAGATGATATCAGAGATATAGTGCGTGACAATGTAGTTAAGGGTTAGTTATCTTCTTATTATTTCTGTATCAGACAACTTTTTCTTATTTAATATCTACTTATAATTCATTTATTTTATTTTCACCATGTACCTTTTATATTTTGTATCTTTTGTAGCCCTGATGAAGACCTGCAAGGTGGGTCGAAACGTCGGCATAACAATTAAATAATACTATTTCAATATTTCTTTAGCAAATAAATGTCTTCTATTTTTTTTTTTTTCATTTAGGTTCTAATTGTTTAGAACTTTTTTCTTACTATTTAAATTGTCAACAAAAATATTTTGTTTAATCAAAGCCATTTAAATCAGCAAACATTTATAGTTCAAATTAATTATGTATACACTTAATATATCTGTACAGACATTGCCAGCCTTAGACATTCGGCACCCCCGGGCAATGACATCTCCTTCCCCCACTAAAAAATTTAAATTTATTTCTCAAGTTGTTTTATACTATGTAATATTTGAATTGTATTTCAGTCAATATTTCTCTATTACAGTTGCTTTATTGTTAGGATAAAATTAATTGTTTTAAGACGCTTTGTATTTTTTTTTTTTAATTTCTAACATATGGCAAACTCCCATGAAGATCAGTTGGTGCCTCTCCAGGTCAGCGCCACGGGGTGATTGACCCAGTTGCCTCTCCCTAAGGCTGGCACTGAATATAGACATTATGTACTAGTACTGGTATTGGTGGGCATTAGTCGATAAGTAGTTCTTGTCGAACTATAGTTCTGTAGCATCATGTTATCAAATGTTTCACACATACATACATATATATATATATATATATATATATATATATATATATATATATATATATATATTGCAGTTAGTTTATGTTAGATTGCAATCCAAGGGAAGTAAAACAAAATTGTAAATATATAAATATATTTTAGAAATATAACAATTACCTATCCATAATCACAGTTATCACAATAGGTTCAGAAAACAAAATAAAACATAAAGAACAAAGTTTACAAAAGAAAATATCAATTAAAAGAAAAAATACTGCAAGTTTTCTAACCTATATCACTACAATATTCTATAACAGACTGGGAAAATACATACTCGTTGATTAACAAATGCACTTAATAATTTATTTACAGATATTTGTTGTTATTAATTTTTTTCACTGAAATATCTCTATGCTTGGCATAGAGAAAAGTAATCTTGGTTGATAAGATTTTTAATAAATTAAAATATTATCAGATTTGGCAAATTTTTTATAATCAAATCATTGCCACCATTTTCGAATAACATATACAAAAAGTATTTAAATATGTACAATATAAAAAAATACTAATAGAAACTTAAAACTACCAAGAAACGATACATAGGATTTGTTCTTATTGTTCTGCAACTAATATGCACTTGTACTCCGATCATTTCCTGGAAAAAGCTATCTATGGTTTTCCAATTTACTCTCATTTATACTCTCTTCAACTGTTGAGAAGTTCGCATCTTATTGGAATTAGTGTTTTTCTTTTTTATTTTATATTCGATCGCATTCATTTCTTCTTAATGATTTTCATCATGTATACAAGTACGGTGTTGGAGAACTCTGTTGTAGTTCTGTACCTATAAATAATAATGGTAATCTTGGTCATCTAAACTATAATAAATTTCAAGAAGTTATCTAAAATTTTCAATATTGGACAAAAACTTACATTTTTCCTAAATCTAATACATATATAAAATTACTGGAAGTTAAATATTTTTCATTATTAAATAGATATATTTTTGAAATTATGATAGAGGTGAATGAAAATTTAAATCAATGAAAACTAGCAAGATAATTTACTAATTTGTAAAAATAGAAAATAAACTATAAAAATTAAAAAAAAAAAATTCTTTAAAACCTAAAAATGTTGATACAATTGAAAGATACATTATATACCTGAGGCTGAAGAAAGCTGCTACCCTAAAAATAACGCAATAGAAAGCAAGGCCCAACATTTGGTTTACGGTAACGTCTCCTTCCATTGCTAAGTCTCGTACTAGAAGCCTTGCATCACGGTAGTAACAGTAGGGATCTTCATCCTCATAGCACCTCATTACCCTAAAATTAATATTTGATGAAATAAATCAAATCTTTTATTGAATATAACCTCGTTAATGTTTTAATCATATACTAATCTTTTTAATTATGACTCTATAAATAAATTTATGTTATATTAGTGCTCATATGCTGTATAACATTTCTTAATGTTTTCTATAAATATTTTTTGTAAGATAAAACATTTTATATCTCAGTAAATTATTGTTTTAATGTTGATATGTTAAATATGATTTCTTAATTAATAGATAGTATCTTTGTTTATTTTGTTTTTTCATTAGAACATTAGAATTTTCTTATTATTTTTTGGGTGTCACTCACTGTTTCATGTTTTTCATTTACTTGTTCATGACATTTCGATACAATTTTTGTTACCTTGTAAAGGGTTAACAAAACTTTGAAATTTTAATGAAATTATTTGAAAAATAAATGCATATTAGCAGGTGGTTCAACTCCAATGTTTTTAAATTACTTAGTCACTCTGCCTGTTACTGAAATTGCTTAATCTGTAACATTATTTTAAATAATTTAGAGATGAATTTTTGTTAAATTTTTTCCCCTTAAATTCCCTCCATGTGTTGCAGTGATACAGCTTTTAATATTTATTTTAATATAATTCCAAATTTTTACCTGTTATCAAGATAAAGTGCTGTAATAATGGACACAAGACCGAATCTGAGATAGCTGGCTTTCATTATGTAATACATCAGAGGTCCTATCGTCTGTCCGTAACCCATTCCGTGCATTGACAACATCAATATTGGGGCCATTGTTGATGGTCCAACTACTGTACCATTCTAAACATGCATAATATAATAGTTATAATGATAAATTTAAAACTTTGAAGGTCTTACAATTTGGTGCAAACTTCGATTTTAAGAAGTAAAGTTTCAGAAGAACCAAAAAGCTTTTTCAAAAAGACTGTTTTTTCTTTTGAATGTGAATTTTTTTTGTAAAGAAAAAATTGATGGAATCAAAAATATTTCTTTATTTTTTCTCAACCTCCTTGATTTTGTAAATATATAATTTAAAATTTTGTACTAAAGGTTGATTTGACCAACTTTTTACTATATATAATATTATTTTTACTTTTAAAACTAAAATTTTATATGAATCATACTTATATAACTAAAACTTACGTTTATTTGATAATGAAATAGAGCTATTTGATTCTTGATTCATCTAATATTGTATTTTTGTGTATTATATACAAACAACAACTTACCGTACAGTTAAAGTTGAAACCGATGAGTATTCCCAATCCTTCAGACGTCAGAGCTATCAAGGAACAGTTCAGCGCAAACCATGCAAATCTTTTTAGTTCCATTGGTTGATCAGACATTATGTATACTATCACCGTAAACATAAATCCTAAAACCAGCTGCAAAAAAGGAAAGAGCGAAATTATTACTTTTATCATCTTTATTTTTATGCCCCAAAACTCAATTTAAGAATTTATTTATTTATCAAAAATCTAATAAATTTATGTCAGTTTATTTATAAATCAATTAATTAATTCATGTACATCATTTGAATTCATTGAATTGCACTAATGAAATTCTTTATTGCAATGTTGGAAATCGGGAGGTGAAATTACAGTACTTAAAAATAAATAATAAAATTAAATTAGTCTAAGGAGGTTCTGATATTGCGATAATATATTTTGTTTTGTATAAACCTTTGGAGCTTATTCTTAATAAATTATAATTTCTTTACATAAATATTCCAAAGCCTAATAAGAACTATTATTTTATATTTTCATTAATGCTACATTAGAAGTAACAAACAACCAAATTCATACAAGTTTATATACATATTATAATTAAATTGATTTAAGCCAAGCATTTTGTAAAAACTTTTTTATTGCAGAGTAAGGAGAATTGTCAAGTTATTTTGGAAGGAAATTTTAATCTTTCTGAATAAGTTATTATAGTTTTATTATAGGTATTAAATATTTATATTTAAAAATGGCTTTTAAATAGCCCAATCTTCTATACAATAAAGATAAATGAAATAAAATAAATTTTCAGAATAAAATAGTTATACCCTTTTTGATCAAAATAGGTTAATTCAATTAATCTTCATGAATGCTGCAATAAAATATTAAATAATGATATCAGCATTTACCCATTGGGAAAAACATTATGAAAAATAATATTACTTATACAGTTAAAAGTAAATTTAGTTAACTTTCAAACCTACAATAAGAGGAATTGTTGAGATAGTTTTTGCTAAGTAGTAAGCCTTTAAGCTGTACCATCGGTTGAAGAATTCTCTTTTCATTATTTTGACATCGATTGGGTCTAAAGGATGAACAATAAAAAAATTGTTATTATTGATGCAGTTATCTTCAAAAAATGATTCATGAACAATAAGAATAATGGATCGTACATGTAAGAACAGGAACCATACAATGTGTGTACATGAAAAATACACTGACGCAAAGGACAAACTTGAAATTATCAAAAGGTCTTCTTGCATCTTGCCCAACACCTTGAAATATACATCCGATTAGAAGAGCAGAAAAAATGTGGTGTATGACCTGTAGCCAAAGTCCGCCCTGAGGAAATAAAGGAAAATATTTAATAAAATTATATCCATAATTTAATAAACATTAGAACTATACTAATTTATTTTCAAGATTTAGTCATTTAATTTTCTTTTTTTAATCATATTTTAGATAACAAACTTTGAATCAATCATACTTTATGCCTTCGCTTCTGGATCATCATTCGAGATAATAGGAGTCGAAATTGCATCCAAAACGGGACTGCAAAGTTCAGATCTACAGAGTTGGGTAAGACTAGATCATCCCGGCTTGCTGAAAACAATGAAATTAATTTTTTATATGTGTTAAAGATAAAAAACAAAAAAGTATTAAAATTAGAATTAAGTATATAATACCAAAATAAACTGGTGGCAAAAAAAAAAACCAACGAAAAACGGTGCGCATTGAATTTTACATAAAAACTGCAGATTATAGAAATATTTTTGAGCCTGAAGTAATACCATGTATATGACAGGTCAAAAGGGATTACCATGCATTAATCCTTTTGAGAAAATTTCATAATTCTCTCTTGATTAATGATAAAAGTAATTAAAATAAAACGTGGACTTCATATCAGTTTGTCTCTAGCTGCCTGTTCAATTGCATTGGTTCTGATTTTGTGTTGTTTTTTTTCTTGAAAATAATATTTCCATTTAATAGGTAGACAGTGTAATAATACTTGAAGTAAGAAAAAACAACACCCTCTATACCATATTTATCTAAAAAATAAAATTAAAAAATACATATACATTAACATTGCTAATTTTCATCCAGGACATTGCCTTATTTCTACATACGTTTTCAACACTCGTCCCATCCATTTAGATAAAATTTCAATAAAATTTTTCTTACTTCAGCAATATTTCATTTGTATCAAACATTTTTAAGAGTATCAAATGTTTTTGGATGTCATGCCAATTGCTCAAATTAATACATTAATTGGGAACTGCAATACGCCGCATCCTGAGTCCACAGGCTGCCTGAAAAAACGGCTTTCCAGGCAGTCCAGATTTACCAGGAGATAGGAAGGGACACTAGGAGGCAGAGATCAGGTCATCCAAGAGTGAAAGGTCCAGCTGATAATTGCTTCATAGCTATGCAGACCTCAGAAACTGCTCACAGACTTCAATTAAGACTTCTCATCGATTGAGTAGTGCTCGGAGTGCGGATGTCAGTGTGCATACAGTAAGGAGAAGACTTGCTGAATTGAGCACACCAAAAGCTCGCCTTAACTTTTGTCGTGAACATGCTACCTGGCAAGAAAATGGTTTGGCCTCTGTTCGGTTTTCTGACGAGTCCAGGTATAGCCTTTATTGTGTAGATGGACGAGTACCAGTGTAGGGAAGACCAGGTAAATAATATTCTCTGCTCAATATAGCGAAAAGAGTGCAGTCTGGAGGAGGGTCGGTGATGGTTTGGGGTGGAATATGTTTAGAGCAAGGACAAGCCTCCACATGTTCCAAAGGCTGATGCTCAATGCACAAATATGTATCACCGACATCCTCAAAGATTTTTTGATACTTTTTGGACAGTATATCGCACTCTGTTTCCTTTGTATGCAGGATAATGCTTGGCCCTATTTTTCCTCCCCTTTATTTGTAGTCTCCTTGAAATAGAATATATCACACTATATTAAGGTAAAAAAAAAAAATGCAATTTTTTTTCTGTTATGAAAGAAATGACGACGAAATTTAAGTTGTGCTGGTTTTTATGACCACCAGTATATATAAACTTTATTAGAAATGTTTTATAATGTGATATTCATTTGGATTGGGTGGTTTTGCTTGCAGAAAAGCCATTACAAAAATTCAGATGACAGGTGATAGAGTTTGTGTTCTGATAGTAAAACAACAATATTCTTACTATATTGAATTATATTTTATTTTTTACTTGCTTCAATTGTTAAATTTGTAATAAAAATGTATAATAATACTACGCTATTTGTATGAAACATACTCATCATGGCAAAAAAAAAAAAAAAAAAAAAAAAAAAAAAAAAAAAAAAAAAAAAATCATGAGTTCTTAGTAGTGTTACTATTAAAGATGTGTTCAATGCCATTATTATTAAATTACCTTGCTCTAAGGTTTGTGATTTTTGGTCCAACCAAACCAGTTTTCCATTCTGCATCTCCTCCGCCATGTTATTTATGAGATCTGGTGATAATACTTCAAACACTGAGGAAGAAAATAGAGCTTAATAAATTCTTATGTAATTATTTTTTTTTTTTTACTTTTTAGCAGTATATAGTATTAATCGTGGAGATCAAAACTTCAAGAATTTTCATTTATTATTGTTTAAGCAATAACTTTTACTTAGGTATTGCAAAAAAAAGTTCTTAATTTTGGTTCCTAGATGTGAATGTTATTGAATTGTAAAAAAAAAATAATAAAAATATAATAAAAAATGTATTTTAATAGAAATAATATATTTATTGAATAATCATAATGATTCTTTCGTTGATCAAATCTACAATCAATTTTTTTTTCGGTCTTAAATTTTCATAATTTCTTTGTCTAGGTAATACATTTATATTAAAAAAAAAATTCTTAAAAGAATTATCTCTTTATCATTTAATTTAATAATTTTTTATTGAAAAATTAGATTATTGATTACTGAAAATTTCATGTACCATAATCTGCTGGGTTATGGGTTTCCGGACACTCGTAACCCAAGTTGGACAAAAATGATACTAGCTGCGAAGGCTCTCCCTGGTATATACATTTTCCACTGCCAACCATGTATACATTATCAAACTGATGGAAAAGGGTCGCAGTCGGTTGATGAATCGTGCAGATTACAGTTCTTCCTTGACTTGCGAGCAGTTTTAATAGTTGTAGTGTTTGATTCGTTGAAACAACATCCAAACCTCTAAAAAAAAATTATTATTAATAATAAATTATATGAACATTTTATATTCCTTTTATCATCAATTGAAAGTTAAATTGAAGTTCCTTTATTATTTTAACCTACAATTAACTCATAATGAACATTAACACATATTCATCCTGTAATTGTTTACATCGCCATTCACAAAATGCTGGCATCTTTTTATCTTTGGTAAAAATTAGAATTTAATTTATTTAGAATTAAAAGAATATGAATAAATTATTTTCTGTTATATAAAATGACAAATTTTCATCATGCGGATGAATATGTGCTAAGAAGAGCATAAAAAAAAAATAAAATAAAATAAAACAGAAATAATTTGAAACAGATTAAGATTATAATGAAGACTAAATAAGACAGTTTTAAAATAAATCATTTTTATTTATTTAGAAATTTGGAGTTTAATATGGGGTGTTTTTTAATTTTATGTAAAATATAACATAGGCCTATTCAGTTTTTAATACCTCTTTTAGTAATATTTTCATGTTCTTATTTATTTTCTAATTATCAGATAAGAGTGGCCACATCCTTAAAAATGACAACTTTTTTGGCCTTCTGGTGCATAAAAACATCATTTTTTTTTGGATTACAGCAGTAAGAAATTAATGGTAAATTATATTTTCTTTATGGTGTAATGTAATCTAAAACAATTTTGATTTTTGACAATAATATATCCCTTGTCGCTATTTGCTACTAATGTAATCAGAGGTGGATTAACGGGTAAGTGAACTATGTGGCTGCGTATCTCTCCTCCTGATAGAAAACAGGTTCCAAGGTCCTAAAATATTTTAATTTGAAAATTTCAGAATTACTCCAATGGTTTCACAAAATTTAGAAAATGGTCGTATAATTCTAAAAACTTTAGTTAAATTTATGGTTATCTAAGGGTTCATTGAAAATATTTTTGAAAAAAATATCATAAAGAAAATTCAATAAGTCTATCATAACTGTAAAAATATTTTATTTAAAGATAGATCAAAATTGGAGATGCAGGAAGCACAGGATAGTCAGGCCACAACCTGATTTTAATTTGAAATTTGCAAGTCATTACTCATCCCCAGATTATTGCCTATGAATTTTAAATATTATTCATCTATTTTCTTGATCTCAACAGCTTGTTCTTCCCGGAGTTAATTTCTATATAACTTTACAAATTTGAAACATTTTAGTGGACACAATTTATTTCGGTTGTCAGTCTCACTGCCTTACTTATGCAAATTGGCTAGATTAGATAAAACATCATAGGTTTAAAAGAATATGATCATAAAACACTTTTTTTTTCTTTATAAAACATTTTTATTGAAATAAATTTGATTAAGTATTGCTTATTTATTTTTTAAATAAAATATTCCATTGATGGCACTGTTTCATACTAACATTTAATTTTCTTTGCATATTTAAACTCAAAAGGCATAAAGTGTGCATAATTTGATTGATTGAGTCCATTATAGGTGTAGAAAATTGTTTAATTACTATTTTTTTTTGTAAATTAATGCTTGATAATATGTTAATTATATTTCTAGCTTTTACCAACTATGTAAAATGATAAAATCTTGTATTGAGGACCATTTTATTTTGAATGGTTATTTCATACAGGAGTACTTCTCAGAAAACCTCGAAGTGAGAAAGACAATTAAAAAAATTGTCTATGGTTTGACTCATCTACAAATGCAATGAGAATCATGCCAAAAATAAATCTTCGTTTTCTTTAAAACTAAATTATTAGCTCCCACCAGTGAGGTGCCTACACTATTTTCGGGACTGGGGCTGATTAATGTTAGAGACCCTCTAAAAAATAAATAAGTAAATAAAAAAAAAACTGTATTAAAACAACAAAGTTCTCATCTGAAAAAAAATGTATATAATGCTTTTTTTTCATTGAATTATTAAAAATAAAAATTTACCACTCTTGTGGGGTCTAATTAGGAAAATCACTATTTGAAGTTGAAATAACTTTTAAAATAATACAAAAATTACAACTATTGAAAATATTCATTTAATATAAAAAATATATTTTTTAAAATGTATTTATGGTGCAATATTTTATCTTTAAAACTTTCTACAGTTTGATGGTGTATTATACTGCATACATTATACTTTTCAAGACATCCTATATCGCATATTTCAATGATTTTTGTTGTATATTAATCTGAGCTTATATATTCTACTATAAACAATTATAGAGTTTCAGATTTTAATAGTGGTAATCACAAGGTTTGAGATTTATCATGAAAAAATTATATGGTTGTCATTGATTGATCTGACTTACAACTTGGATTAATGTATACCAAACTCTGATATTTCAATGTAAAGGGGACTAATATATTTCTTATAATGACATTATAGTATAGATATATCAGTTGGAATTGTGTTGTATGAGTCATTATAATTACTACTTACGTTGATGGTTCATCCAGGAATATGACAAGTGGATCACTGACTAATTCTAATGCCACTGATACTCTTTTCCGTTGACCACCTGATAATTTATCACAGAATGTTTTTGCACAGGATTTCAAACCCAATGTCGCCAAGATTTCTTCAATCTGTAAATAATCTGTAGATTTAGCCATTGAAGTTTTACTTGCTAATTTTAAGATAATATCCAAATCGGACAGTGCAATAGTTAGTTGTAGAATAATAAAAGATAAATAAATAGCAAAGTAACTGTTGCTTATCCAATAGACTACAAGTTGAAAAGGACGGTCAACATATAAATTAATAGAGTTTTCTAGCATCGTTAACTATGGAGTAGTCTGTCTTAGAATAAACATGGACCCTAAAGGAGGTCCACAAGGAAAATACAATTATTTCTTTAAATGATTATATTTTTCATTTTGTTCAAATATTGTACTAGTATTCATAAATTACTTTGTTCTGAGGCACAAAACTTTATAAAATGAAGAATCAAACAAAATATAATTAACCTTATTATTTTTTTCTTTGATTGATAGCTGCATGCCGAGCTTGAGGTGGGCCGCAGTCGTCATGGCCTCCCTCACTGTTAGGAAGGGCTGAAGGAGATCTTCTTGAAGAAGGTAAGAGGCCATTTTATTGAACACAGCTAGTTTCCTTGGTTCTCCATTTATCCTGATTTGCCCGGATACTCCACTTGTTCTAAACACAAACACAAAAATAACTATAATAGGTTATTAATTTAAAATTTAGAATCTGATTTTTTTCTCATGTTCTTTTTCATAGCCTCAAGAGTGATTTGTGCCCAAATTGCTTATTTTAATTTTACCCAAGTATAGTGTGGCTCTATACCATTTATAAACATTACAATAATCATATTTTTATTTTTAGAAACATGTAAACAAAATGTTTTGATATAGTTCTTGTTCACTATCACTTAATTAGTTTTTGATTTCATAAATAAATATTTATAGGTTCTTGAATATTTACAAAATATTTGGTCTATGCTACTATGTTTTCTCTTGGATTGTTATTGGAGTTGTGAAACTAATGAAGAATTTTTCCTGAATCCAGGAATTATAAATCACTGATGACCATCCTAACATCAACGATTTCTGTAATGGCTCGAATGTAATTTGAAGCTTTTTTTAAACCGGATCTAGGTTTTTTTTTCTAATGTAAGTTTAACTTACATCACGTAGAGCTTGATGATCAAACAATTTGAAACACAACATATCTATGAATTATTTAGTTCACATTTTTCTGTTTTTAGCTTGCTATTATGAAATTTGTTGAAAAAAGCCTTAAGTATCACAAATTGTAGAAAATAAACTAGCAATCAACATTTCCCTAACTCAAAACTTATCTGTAAGGATTGAAAAACATAAGATCAGATAAATGTAAATCCAAGATTGCACATTTTACATCAACAATCTAAAAAAAAAAGATATAACCAAATTGAGATAGTAAATCATTCTAAAAAAGTGTAAAATACAAATCATTATATATATATATATATATGTTATCATATTAAGAGTACAGTTGAGGTGTTGGATGCAAAAGTTTTGTATCATTATCATAATAAATTATTAATTAACTTCATATTTTTAAACAGTTTTATTTGTTTGAGACTAATATTTTAACAGAGAAAGTAAGCTTTTATTGCTTACCAAGAAATGTCTATTTCCATTATACCTTTGTAGAATATCCTCTAAAGTTTTGAAAATCTTAAAGCTTCAGTTTTTCACTAAAACATTTTTGTATTCAACGGCTCATATATGTTCAACAATTTTGATGTTGTAATATTTCTATTTAGTTATTTCTTTTTAGGCTGTTTATATGGAATTTACTATTTATGTGATCTTATTTTTTTTGCTGATGATACCAGGCGAATCATTAAATAGTTAGTTATGTACAGTTTATTAATAGGTATTTGATATACTTAAGGGTTTGTTTCGAAATCATCGACTAAATTTGTATCTTAGTAAAATTTTGATATTTTTTCAACAATATGATTTTAACTAGAGATATCAACTCTGTCTTTACTCTGGATGTTGAACTAGGAATATGAAAAATAGGAACAGCCTTTTTATATTATGTTGCCCAGCTTGACCATGTTTTGTATTAATTGTTGTCCTAGATAGTTTTGGTTAATAATTAATTGTAAAAGCCCGACTGTGATATCAGATATTTAATGATTAAAATACTCATTTGTTTTTGCCAATAATAAAAAAGCTACAAATTACCTACTAAACAATGGTTTATTATTAACTAGTATTATTTACTTTTAAATTTATTATAAATTAATAGTAGCATTCAAAGTGTTTCAGAATCATTATTATATCCCCAAGACTAGAATAATATTATTAAATATTTGGTTTGAATTTTTTTAAAAATTCATTGGTATGATTCTTAAAATAAATTTCCCCTCCAATCGAAATAAATTGTCCAGGTAGTGAAACCTCTAATCGGCTGTCATTTTGAAATAAAATGGAGGAAATTTATATACCAGAGTAGTATCGGATTCAGTTTTAAATTTTGGGCGAGATTTTTGTCTTTGCTACAATGGTAATTACTCTGGTAAAAAAAGTTAAAAACTATATGAAATGATGTTTAAGTGTTCTTTAAAGGCATGTCAAAAGAAAAAAAAAAGAAAAAAAAAAATAAATAAAATAAATAAAATAAAATAAAATAAAATAAAATAAAAAAAGGTTAAACAGCTGTATATGCTTTGTAATTCAATAAGAGAGGAAATTAAGCTCAGATCATTCTAAAAATATCAGCCAATGATAAAATAAATATTTCCTATTGCGGGAAAAGGGCTTCAGCCCAAAAGCCCCTCTTTGGATCCGCCTGTGGTCATACAGAAAAGTCTGACTTACATGTTTCAAGAATAAAAAAAATCGGAGCAGTAGTTTCAAGAAAAGTCATGGACGATAGACGGGCGGATTTTTTTTTTTTTTTGGTTATTTAGATGGTACTTTTTTAAAAACATTAAACCTCACATTTTAAAAGTTATTTTCATCTAGTATCTAAAATAATAAACCACGATTAATTGAGAAAAAAACAGCCGGAGCAATTGTACTGCATAGTCTGCAATTACGTTGGAAATAGTTGTAAATCTAGTTTGACTAATTTTACCACATCTAACTCAGTAATCTCTGTGGCGGTTATAAATAACTACCAACTTCCGTAGCAATTGTTATTGCAATTCGTAGTGCGAAAGTATTTTTTAATCACGGTTAATAAAAGTATTGATTATCGTGCAGTCTGCCTCAGCGGACACTATGAATTGCCTTAAATTATACCCCACGGATACATTAGTTTTAGTCATGGCCAAGTCGATTTCAAGATCGATCCATCGTTTTATTTTGTTATGTCTTCCTAGGATTTCTGATCCGGGTTCCATCCTAGCGGCAAATCGTTTGCCTGACATGGTTGGCCACTTGTTTAGATGGTATATTTGCGAATGTTGGAAACATTTACCGATGACTCTTGTTTTCTTTCAAACATCAAAGAGGCAAACTGTGCCGGTCTTGACATTCGGCGCCCCCGGGCAATGACGTCATCTCCTCCTTAAAAAATTAAATTTATTTCTCAAGCTGTTTCATATTATGTAGTATTTAAATTTTGTTCCATTCAACATTTCTCTATAGCCAATTTTGCGAGTTTTCCCTTACTCGTTCCACTGTGCGCCGCCCTGGCAATTACCCGATTTAAGGTCGTCATTGGGAGCAAGCCCCATTACCATTGTACAATGTTCGCGTGCAATTTGACAATTCAGTTCCTTTTTCTGTTTGCATTACAGACCATGTAGATCTTTTGCAGCCTTAACAAGCCTGCTCCATCTCTGCCTGTCTTGGGATATTACATTCCATTTATCTGCACGCAGCTCTATTGAATTTTTGTTGATTCTATCTATACATCTGCTTCCACGTGGTCTTTTGCCTTCTATTGAGGCATTCATTGTTACTTAGAGGCTTCCAGAGCTATATGTACATCTTAACCTCCGTGCCTTCATATCACTTGATTGATCAGTTTCTGTAAGCAGTTCTCTATTGGTCTTTCTTCTCCATGTGTTGGTACTCTGATCCCAGATCGCTACGGTTTATTTTTATATAAACAATTATTTTTATAAATTTTTGTTACTTTAAAGATGGTAGTGAAATTCTCAGTTATTCATAATTTGATAACTTTTGGCTGTTAATTGGATTGATTGTAATTCGTACTTTCTTCTCCGTCATTAATTTATTATTTATTAACAAATTATTCATAATCAGCTTATTTTCGAATTCAACTTCTTTGAAATTAACAAAGTATTGTTCTTAAATAAAAATTGAACAAATCAACTTGTCATTATATGATTTTTTTCAACTCGAGACCAATCGCACTGAAATTTTTCATTTTCCTTTCGTTGAAAATCGATCTATTAGTAATAAAAATCATGAAACCGACCACCATTTATTCAATATAATGAAGGAGAAATTGTAATCTCTGGAAGAGGATGGAATTAAAAAATAATAATGTCGGTTCTCAGTTTCTAAATTATTAACATTTCAGGAAGGAAAGACTTGTAATAATAAAATAAAAATCTTAAAAAACGATAATCACTTTTGTTTAATTTAATAGAGAAGAAATATTTTGAAATGAAAAAATAAAAACCGTATTTATTAGATTCTAAATTAATACTTAGGAAAGAGAAGGTGTTTTTTTTTCAATATTATTTTTTTTTTTTATCCTCCTCTTCGGTAAAACATTTGGCCAACAATGTTTGTCTTACAACTTTTCATATGTGTGGGTGTCCCATTTATCATGCATAGGTCCAATAAATGTTTCAATAAGTTAGTACAAATATCCACTCTGATTTTCATTTTTGATCGTTTATGAATAAATGTATGATAAATTTTCAACCTTTTAGGCAGGCATGATTTTCTTCCAAAGTTTTTTTCTATTTTTTACGTTAATTAGACGTTTTCCTCAATTATTTCTCGGTTCTTTCGAATCCCGTTAATGGATTAAAATATTATTAAATGGTCTATTTTAGTCATTGCATCTTTGAATTTCGACAGTAGTACCAGAAAAGCTTGTGAATCTGTCTCAGCAGATTTTACAAGAGACACAAACAAAATCTAGGTAACTTTTATGGAATATTATGGGTCAGGTGTGCTGAACGAGAAACAAGAGGATCAAATGACGTAAAGTTTTACAAAGAGTTAAACAAGACTATTTAGATTGTTATGATTAGAATACTTTTTTAGTTTTCCGGATTTTACCACTATCGATTTATCGTTTTTGATTAATTTTCGCAAGCTATACCAATGACGTTCAAAACGAATCATTGCAATCCTTGTAATAATTTATGAATTGTTTTCTGTGTAGAATGTTAAAGTGAAACCCGAGAAGGAAAGGTTCTCCGAGTCATGCGTGTAGCTTTCTCTCCATTAATTTTCCTCTCATCTATTTCAAATAATTAATTAGAAACTATTGGGATTACCAGAGGCGAATCAAGTGGCAAATGTGCATGCCGCTTAGGACTCTATATCAAAGTTAATTAATTGTCTGTTACTTGAACTCATGAGTTTAACTGTTAATCTCAGTTTCTCAAAACATTTTTTCTTCGGAAGGTCCTTTAAGTTTTACCTTTTAGGGCCTCCTCTTGATTCGTCTATGGAGATCATTAAGTAAAACTAGTTAGGTTATAATTGGGAAAGTCCATCCACACATCCTTGTGTTTCTCAATCGCAGGTAAAGAACAATATATCCCGTCTTAGTTTCGATATTTCAGGTATCTTCAAGACAGAAAAAACAACATCACATTACTCTACATCATCCAAACACATGCTGCTCAACAGAACACATGAGCAGTATATATTTGAATGTAATGCAGTAATTGCTTTATACGATTCATTTTCGGGATACCAAGGGACGCCTCTGTTTCCCATTTTTATGCAGAGTTGAAGTGGCTTTATTCTTCCTACCGTCGTATTTCCTCGCATCCTTCCTCTTTCAAGTCATCCAATCCCCCCGACTTTCATACATCTCTGAGCTCTTCCAATTCAAATCCTCTGTTCGTTCCCGTAATATTCGTTAACGGTCTTCTGACTTATATATAAGGGCCCACCGAACCGCTGCTGTATATACTGCTGTACATAGTATATATCTATATCTATCTATGTAATATATATATATATATATATATATATATATATATATATATATATATATATTATTAGCTCGTTAATAATTATTTTTACTTCATCCTTTTTTTTTAATTTTTTATTATTAACCGATTAAAATTAGAAAGTAACTTATAATTTTATTACTATGACTGTAATTAGTCTGTATCTTTATTTACGTATCTCTGAGGCTCCCTATCCCATATTTATGTCTTTCTGTATTATTCTAAAGGGATTCTTCACAAAATAAAGAAAGTATTATTATAATGTCATCTGTTTTTTTTTTTTTCTTTCCTAAAGATGCTTGAATTGGCTAAACATTGATGGGGTATTTTGTTTTTTTCCTGCGTTTGAGAAACACAAGGGCAAAGTAATCAGCCATTTGTCTCAGACAGCAAACATTCAGTAGGAAGCAAAATTAAATTTTTTTGTTAAGTAAACAAATATTTGTTTATGTTTCTTTAATAAGCTGTTATAATTCTTACATAGCTATCAAATGGAATTGACTAACTTTCTTGGGATTACCATTGAAGTTTAAAACTAAATTGCCTCTACGGCTGGCGATTTGTTTATTGTCGAACATCGTGTTGGACCGGCATACTAAGTACTTCGGCCTTCCGTCTACCGTCTGTGTAAAACACGCATTGCCTGGGAACCTGATAAACCGAAGATTACGAGTTCGAATTCCGGTGCCGGGAGGACTTTTAACTCCGGCATTAATCCTGTGCCCTATCCTCTGGCACAGAAAAAACTCAGTATAGCCGAAGAAATGACGAGGAAGGAAAGAGAATAAAGAATACTGGGATCATCCAGCGTGTTAAGGCACTGCCCGCATTTACATTTTGAAGTTTTTTTTTATCTCAAGTAATATAAGGGGATACCAACTGAATGGTTAAATATCAAAACAGAAGTAAATATAGATATAAGCTGAATATAAATATTTAAATTGGATCTATAAAAACTCCAAGATTACACCCAGCGTATTCATAGAGCCCCTAAAACTATGATTTTTACCTATGAGCTCAGCGCTGAGTTTAGGAACTTTTACCTAGCTTCGACTCAGACTTCTTTAGAAATATAATGAAAGATGATTTCATATTATAACTTTTTTTTGTAGATATGATTGTCTTATTTTTTATAAATAAAACGAAAGCGTACACAATATACGCTACTATATTATCTGTAACTCAGTTCGCTGATATGCCGAAGACTATCAGCGTCACTTCCTGAATGTCAGATCTAATAGCTCAAAGCTATTTCTTGTTCGCCACCACTTAGTCACTTATTTGAATTCGGTGACCTATATGCATATTTATAGGTTTCTTGAATATTTACTAATACGCGGTCTGCGCCGTGTGCTATGAGTGATTTGATGGACTCTTTTTGGAGATAAAAAGAAACTAATGAAGTGTTTTTTTCTGAATCCGGGAATTACATTACACTGACGACTTTCCTAATGGGAACCACCGTAATGGCGCCAAGGTAATTTGGAAATTTATTCGAACCGGATGTCGTTTTTTTGTTAATAATCAAAGTTCAGGTTACATCACTGGGACTGCTAACGATCAAACGCGTTAAAATACAACAAGTATGTGGATTATCTAAGTAACGTTTTTCTATTCTTAGATTGTTATTGTTACTAGATTATTAATTAATTACTATTAAATTATTATTACAATTAATAGATAAAACCTCAAGTCTTTCAAATATCAGTAAAAACGTTATAAAAGAAAACATGTCATCAATTCGTATATTTAAAGCAATGAAAACCATAACCTGTAAAAATCTGAAGTATTGGATAAGGTCTTAACTGTCGGCAATGTTATATAAGGAGGTGATTTGGACATGATCCTTTTTGACCGCCATGTTTTCTCCCAATAAGAGTATGATAGTCTTCAAGAAACTAAAAATCAATTGAAATGTAAATAGAGCTCATTTAGATAATTTAAATAAATAAATGACATTTATATTTTTAGTAATAGACTGTTATACTCTTAGGGCCAGTTGCTCCAACTCAGTAAAGCTTAGATTAAGCGTTATCTAAGACTAAACCAAGTTTTCTAAGGTCGACCGATCAAGATTAAACTTGGTTTAATCTTAGATAACGCTTAATCTCAGTTTTACTGATTTTGAGCAACTGGCCCTTATTAAGTGAGATATCAACAAACCAATGCTCTTCTGGACGAAACAGATAGGTCTTGAACGAGTACAATAATGAATTATTGGCTTTTCCGGAAAATAAGGCTGGATTTTAAGTTTTCTTTAAAATACCTCTATATTTAACAAACTGTTTATGTTTACTGCTCACAGTCTTTACGAAGATGTCAACGCGCGATTTTCGTATAATTTTGTTTTACGAGTTTAAACTCGGCCGGAATAATAGTTATCATATGTAGAAGTTCTCATTGGGAAATACTGCTATATAATTAAATTTAAATAAAAATTAAATTATATAAATTTAAATTATAATATTAAAGGCACTCACACGTAACCAACAAGGATGTTCATCAGGGTGGATTTCCCAGCGCCAGAAGGGCCCATAATGGCGGAGAGCTCTCCCGCTTTGAATTTTCCAGAAATGCATTTTATTATCTTTCTTCGACCTGAAAAATAAAATAAATAATTTTAAAAAGTTAACAAATACTACCATTTTGTAATCATATTATGTTACAATTCAAGTGGCAAGAAAATGGGCATTCAAGAGTTTTTACTACCTAATTAAATAGACAAAGATTGCCAGTCTCTAGATAGAATAAATATTCTGAATTTTCGTAAATAAAATATTTGTAGATCACGATGAGATGAAACTATTCACTTAGTTTCAAGCTGATGTTAATAATATGATAAAAAGGGATCTGTACCATGGACCATTAATGGACAGGTTGGACTTAAAATGTAAATAATAAGCTTCTTTGTTGATTTAAAGGTTTCTAGTTTTTTTTTTTTTTATATTGAAGAACAATTTCCTCTATTGAAAACTGCATGAAGAAAGTTCCCAAACGAAAATATTTTAAAATTCCTATCATTGTTGTTTCTATAGTGCCGTTGAGATCAGTGTGTTTCACACCTTCCTACTAACAGTGTTGCTAAGAGTTACTTGAACATTTATGTTATCTTTAGAGTTAAATAAAGATTTTTTTAATTTTTCTGAGATATGTCTATTACTATAACAATTGAATTTCGGGGTTTCCATCACTAGTACAAAATCATGTTATTTTTTTTTAATGGAGATTATATCTTTACAACTGAATATTTTTTCTATTTTAAAATGTTAAATATAAAAAGTAGACCCTAGAGATTCTAAATGTTCAACGGAGAAGTTTATAACTATAATAATTATGGCGAAATAAGCCAAAAATTACAAACATTTCCTAAACTATGTCCATTACTGGTGCGCTTATCCTACTTAGCCTTTAAATAAACGAGTGTATATTCAAATCTTAATTTTTTTCATCATCTATACTCCCGATAGAGCTAGTAACAACTTATTCCAGGTTTTTAACAACTTAACAACTAGCTCCAAGTTGGAGAGGGGACAGCGGTGGGTTGTTACTTTTTGTTTTTCTGTACAATAAACTTCATATAAAAACATTCGTTAAAGATACACAATCTGAAAGGTAAGTCTTTCAGATTTATAATGAAGAATATCTGTACAAATTATAAGTTAGCATACATTTTCTAATAAATAGGCCATTTTCTAAATAATATTTGAAATACTTTAAAAACCGGAACTTTTAGCCCTACTCACCACTACTGAAGAGAAGGAAATCACCATAAATTGAAATTTCGTTAAATAAAAACTCTTGAAGTACACAATTACAAACATATTAAAAAAAAAATGGAAACGTTTTGGGTGATGTTTCAATTACAAATATATAAAAATACAACAAGAAATCCACATTGTATCAATATTATATTTATATATCAATATCTTTTTAACAATTCGATTTCTAAGCCATCTGAAATATAAGTTTTAATAATAATAATAATAATGCTTTATTTATTCTGGGACGAGTCCCTTTAGAATAATATGAAAAGACAATAATGTGGGCTAAGGAGCCTTAGAGATACATAAACAAAAATATAGAGTAATTAAATAGTCAAAATAAAAATAAATTATAGAAAAAAAATAAGTTACTTACTAATTTAGATCAGTTAAAAATAAAAAACAAAAAATTGAAAATAAACATGAAATAAAAATAATGAAGAACGCTCTAATAATTTATATACATATTTACAGTAGTAAGTTAAAGTTTTAGAGATATCTTTAAGATTTGAAATTTTAAGAGTTCTGGTAGTCCAAAAAGAGGGACAAATATCGATTTCATATTGCAAAAAAAAGCTAATAATAATCATTTTTCTACAAATATTTTTTTTTGAAAATCGTTTTAATAAACCTCATTAACATCGATAATATTTTTTTTATTGCGAATACTTGGCGTAATCCGCAATAAAATTTGCTATATTATTTCGTATAAAGGCATTCCATTGTACACTTCGTCATTTTATCACCTATTTTGTTAGTTTTTTTTTTTTATAAATATCTCTTAAATTATAAAAATAAAATAATAAATTTCGTTTGACATAAGCTAATGTTGCATCAGTTTATTGAAAAAAAAAGTACCGAAAAAAATATCATTCCGGATAATCTGGGATTCAGTCTTAGCTGGGCCTAAACCAAGAGGGATTATACTTAATAAAATACTAAAGTAAAAATTCTTCTTAGCTCTCATGAAAGATAAAATATTATATGTTTAAATAAGTGGAAGATAATTCCTCGTGGTGAACAATGGTTTGTAAAATATTTTCTCATGTTGTCACCAGTTGCTCTCTGACCTGCCGGAATTGGATCTAGATTGAGGAAGACATACATTCAGCCATTAGCAAGTGTTATGAAATATTTTTATATTAAAATTTATGCTTGATTGATTGATTTTTAATAAATTTGTATAAACTTATGAATGTATTTAAATTGAATGAAAATTAATTTTACTTTGGGACTAAATTCTCCTTAGAATAACATCAGAGTTCAAACAATATATACATGAGTCTGGGCATGTAGATATAATACAAATATATAAAAAGTTTCTTCTATTTCTGTTTCTTTAAACAGGAAAAAATTAACGTTATTTATTTTTTTTTTCAAAATGGACCATCTTCAAAGACTTAATTTGTTAATATAGATAAGTATTAATTTTATTTATTTCCAGAACTTGAAGAATTCATATAAATTTTAAACAATAAAAACTGCATATAATTAATAACATATTCAACAGTTGAAAACATGAATCATCAGTGATTTATTGCTGTTTATGCCATTTTATAGTTTATCATTATCCACCTATAAAACTGTAATAAGACATCAATAGGATAATAAATTAAATATTTGTATCTTAATTAAAGATTTAAGAACCTATTTAAATCTTTAATTAAGATACAATAGTCTTCTATTCTGTTGTTCCAACCATTTAAAAAGGTATTTAAAATTCCAATTCGTTTGCACGACTCAGATTCGGTTATCATAAATATCCTTGATTGAATGACATAGTTTGTTTGATTTTTTTTTTCAAATTTAACACTTGTATAAGGAATCTTCTCTTGAAAAATTTAAAATTTTTAAAATGCATAGATGTATCTATAAGAAATATATGTGTTCTTGTATAAACCTATTTATAATGCTGTGGCATTTATTAATATTTCAATACAATGTTACGGGTATAATTATTATTGAAAGGTGATATGGATTTGGTCAGCATTCAGATTTTATCACTGGATGTCGAGTATAAGGAAAATGATTGATCAGGTATCCATTTAATAGAGGGTGGATGTTTCACACTATATGTTTCTCACTTATAAAATTTGTATACTATAAATATTATTTTTAAAAAAAAATGTATTTAATGTAATTTATTTACAAGACATTTCGGAGAAACTGTAAATTCTAAGTAGGTATACTTGTAACTATGTAAATCCTTTTTTTTATCTTTAACTTTGATATTCAAATTCCTTTAATCTCAAAGCTGAACTTTTTTTTTTCTCTCTTCGCTCTCTCTTTGCTACCGACTTTTATCTCCAGTTACCGTATTAGGTAGGGCATCGTATGAGAAAATTTACCATTTAAATCGATTCCTAAATACGACTCTCTTTTTGAGAATATCTTTTCTTTTTTATTTATTTATTTTTTTTTTAAGGATTTTCTTTTGTTAGTAAATACTTAGGATTCTTGCCGAAATGTCAATGTCTTCTGGATCCATCTTACACGTATATGAAATTCGATTTAGTCGTCGCACGATTTTAAAACATCCTCTTAAATTGGGCTTTAATGAAATGACAGGTTTATAATTGTTCTCATTCAACTCTAAAATGTAAAATATTTTGTTAAAACAGCACAAAAATATATCAAATGAATTGAAGAACGGAAAACTTGAATTATTGGTTTTCTACGTTTCGTGTTTAATAGGTATTTTAAACGTTTTCATAAACTAATTCGGTTTAATTAAGCATACATTTTTGGTATCGTTTCAAATCAAAATGTTTATGCTCTAAAGCTGAATTGTATGGTTTGGTTTATGCGTTAGATGAATTATTTATTTAAGAATATAAAATTTATTTATTTATTGACAAAACATAAAATTCGAACATAAATTTAAATTTTTAATTTTAAAATTATTTCGGTAGCTTCACAGCGTCTCATACATCAGAGGACACAGATAGATCTACGTGGGAAGGGAGGGCTTTCGTGGTGAAGTCTTTATGTGTTACTTCATTTACGGCATAAAACGCTTCGTCAACTATTCTTCGCATCACTTTTGACCGAAAAGATTGAAAATTTTTTTTTAATGTTGGAGGATTTAGCAGAATCCCGCAGTTCTATACCCAAGTCCAAATTGGTTTCAGTAATACTTTACACAGGGTTAGTTTGATGGTTAAAGATAATTTTATTGTATTTAAGTATGAATGTTTTTCTATTTATTTCTATTACTTATAATTTATTTAATTTTGCTACGAATTTCTGTATTTCATTTAATTTTAACTCCAAGTTACATTTCCTTGGTTTATTATAGTTTTTTCCTTTGTTATATAGATTTGTATATATTTTTTTATTTATTTTTTTTTATTTTATTTTTTTTTATGGTATTGTATGTATGGTATGAATGTGCCTCACTCAGCCTTAGTACTCAGTGCCCTTAAATGTGGCAAAATGTATTATTACTCAATAAACAGATTATTACTACTAAAAGATAATTTTGAACGTATGTCAAGTAATCTAGAAGATTATAAAATAACAACAAATATTAAGTAATGATAACACTAGAATTAGGCTAAACCTTGATAGATCAAGAGTTACTTGACTTGAAAGGCATTTAAATAAACATAATAATTATATTAATAATTAGATAAATCTGTCTTCAGTTCCATAATAAAAAAAATAAAAAATATATCTGTCGGCATGTAAATTAATTATTATCAAGACATGATTATTGTATCTACAAGTTGATTTTCTTTTATTTTGTTATTTAATTATTCAAAAGTCAATTCCTTTCTGTGTTAACAAGACTTCCTTTCAACCCGATTCTATAAATAATGACTGAGAACGTTGATG